ACACTCTGGGAGTATTGAATCACAATAAACTTTCTTTAATTTAGGATTTTGTAGTTTTGGTGGTTTTTTTACTAATTTTCATAAATGTTCTATAGAGTGAATATCTAAGTTAATTCACATAAATAAACTTCACCTCAGACTTATTACCCTATTAGGAAACATATTCAACTGGAAAAAAAGCTTTTCAGCTTTGTTTCTGTATTGCTTAGGGTCTCCATATTAACACTGTTCTAGGATTGAATCCAGGAAGTGCACGAGATTAAGTGTGATTTTATTAACTGGGGCCTGAAAGGGACATTAAGACAAACCTCAGATATTTTGTTTATTATTTTTCAGCTCTTTTTAGTGACAGTAATGTGTACATTTAAATAATAGTCAAGAAGTATTTCTAACAGGCAATGTGAAAAATTGGAACTTTAACATGACATTGGTATAGAGGAAAAGAGAGTGGTTAAAATAGGCAAAGGAATACGCAGTCCTAAAAGGTTGAAGTTCACACGCAAGCTTTATAATTCAGTGGAACAGACATTCACATGTAGACTGCCACAAGACCCCTTAGGAAAAGGAGCACATGCTGCTAAGTTCAGGGGGTAAAAGCTCCCACATGCAACCTCAAAGGAGGCTGACTGAATTTCATGGTACTTGAGCCACGCCCTGAAGGAGGGACGCTGTGTCAACAGTTAGTGGGAAAATACACGGACACAATATTGTGAAGCAATCAAGGGACAGATCTCCAAATACTAATGTTCTGTGAATTCGCTGGACATTTGGAGTTAGTTATAAGAACTAATGAGTCGTGAAAGATCAAGAAGCTGAGATCATCACGTGGGCCTTCTTGGGTCCTGAGCTACATGGAACGGACTTCATTCTACAGGCAGTGAGCAAAGGGTCATGTCATAATTATTAAGAAGGTGTATCATGTTCCAAGCCTGACTGGCCACTACCGGAAAGGCCAGCAGCAAAAGTGGCCCTTTCAGTAGACATGTGTCCCAACCCATTCTCTATCACGTGATCTCTTGGAACAGAGCCTTGGCTTGAAACGAATTAGGCATGGAAACATGATGAATGTATCAATTAGCTTCTTATTCTAAGATCCAAGTCATAAATATATAGCACTTGAGGCTATATTAAACATCAGCTTTTTTTTCCCATAGAAAATACAAATGATCTATACTATGCTCAACACACTAAAGAAAGGAATAGGAAATGAAAACTTGCGGTAGCGGGTACTAAGTTTAAAACACAAACAATTAGTAGCAGGCATGTGGTGAAACTCTCATGAAGTTATACAGTGAAACAAAACAAAATCAGCATCGCTTACTACTTGTCTGGCACAAATCATTCTCAGACATGGGTAAGAGGACCAAAATACATTCTGAGGCACAGGATAGAGCCTCTAAATACAAAAGAATTTCCAGATATAGGGTTACCAGAAGATTACGTGTATTTACGCAAGTAAAATATCTTTGGTTTTGTAACTTTAACATGAACTCTTACCTCGCACAACGAGGTCAGCAGAAGCCGAGGAATTGTCCACGATGGTCTGAGCCGTGCACGTGTACCTGCCTGCGTGCCGCAGCTGCGCATTTCGGATGAGCAGCTCCCCGTTGGCATCCAGCTGTTGGCAAAGACAGCAGTCACTCCCATCACACACTTTCCTCAGCAATTCGATGGGCATTTGGGGTATAAAATGCACTTCATTTTCCTTCTCACAATGAATATGACTTAAAGGCATCTGTCTCAAATACACTCAATCTGTCTCCTTGGCTAACTGACATTTGAGGATATAGTTTCTCAGCTAAAAAATGAAACGATGGGAATTAACTTAAGGCCTCTTGCCTTTTACTGTGTTTAACTTTCTATCATTTGTACAAACAGAAGGCTACACTGAAAGGAAACCAAGGAATGATGTTATTTTCTGACATCTTTTAACAAAAATGTTGAAGTCTAATAATTATTTACTTATTTGTTCACTTGTTTATTTTGTGATACTGGGGATAGAATTCAGGATCTTGCACTTGCCAGGCAGGTGCTTAAGCCACTCAGCTATATCCCCAGCCAAGGTCTAATAATCTTAGTGCTACACGTTAACGTGGGTAAATACATGCTCAATGGCTGAGAAGAATTGCTAACTTGATTTTTGCAAAGCTACTTCAATTGCCTAATTTTGTGATGTGTCACAGTTCATTTTACCATGATACTAAAAGTTAGCGGAAATTGTCAAAATGGACAACTCTATTGACATGTACTTTGCCACCAAAACACAGACGACACGAAGACAAGGAGTCTTGTCTTGCTGACCCCTTTATCTCTAGTGTTTATAAGAGTGTTCCGTTCATACTTTTGTAGGAGGCTGGAGGAAATGTAGCTTCTGATGATAAGGCATCAAGGCAGTTTAATTGCCAAAAGTAGGCACTGCTTATTGAATGGCTGTTTGGCCCCAGATCTGGGCTATGCATATATAATCTCATTTAATCCCCTTCAACAGAGATAGGTCTTACAACATCCACTTTGTTATCAATAGAAGAGATTCAGAATACCTGAGTAATTTCATTCAGTTTACTCAGTATATAAGGCAGCAACAACATGCCAAAGTAGTGGATCATGATCTCAAAAGTGTTTTCTTAGAAGAAAAACTTGGCAAACTCAATTTTTAACATAGACATGTTTTTACTTGTTTATATGTATTGATTTATTTATCTTTTGTGGTACTGAGGATTGAACTCAAGATCCTGCATTTGTCAGGCAGGTGCTTATTCTACTGAGCAACATAACCCAGGACTCTGTTTTTATTTTTAACCAAACATATTGAGCTACTATTCCAATGACAGATATTTAAATATATGAAAGGCTGATTCATGAATTAGGTTATTACTTACAAAACAAAATCTTACTTATATGAGTTGTCAGGTGTTCCCAATTTGAAAGTTTAATGACTATATGTAGAGCGTATGTTCTGGTTCACCATTAGTTCTACCAGTAGCCTTTCACATCCCATGTTCCCTTATGTTCTCAGTATTAGGACTTGCAATCTTTTACTAACTAATGAGGTCATGAATAATAGCAAGTTATAATCTGGGCTCTTGGTTTAATTAATTGAAACTCGATCTTAATATTTCCATACAAAGACCTTGCTAATTGGACCAAACATGTTTTTTTTGGACATTATCCAGTCCTAGTAAACAGATACCTAGAAGTTAGATAATTAAATGCCTTTTGAGGTCTTTCTATGAAGACTAAAATAGCTAAGAATCAAAGCAGATCCCAAGAGTTGTATGAATTCCCAGAGTAGGAATGATTTGGTCTTTTGTTCTCTTGCTTTATTTTATGGCAAAAAAAAAAAAAAAAGTTCCAGACTACAAGTGTAACCCTTTCTTTTGTTTTATATAAAATCTACTAACACCAAGTATTTCCTGATAAAGTGGTATAATGAATAATTGGAATGATAGAACTTGTTGTATGCCAGGATATAGGGTAAATTCACATTAAGAAATATTGTCGATGACATACTTCTGCCCTTATCAGTCATATTGGTCAGACATTTTTTTAGTAGTCCCCCCATTCCCCACTGCCTGAACCTCTTACTGACACCCTGAATCTATTTCTTACTTTGTTCTTTTTTCTGTTAGAAACAAAGAACTATTCTTGCCTCACTTTGAGGTCTTTAATTCTTTGATGGTTGCCTGGATTCCAATAATAGCTCTTATTTCAAACCTTACTGTCTGTTCTTAGCTTTTCCGTTTCTTCACCTCTTTGTCCTCAATCACTTGTAACCTGGAACCTATCTCTTCAATTCCTCTTACTCAGTCTCCTTTTTTTTTTCAGTACCCAGGATAAAACCTAGGACCTTGCGCTTGCCAGGCAAGCACTTACGCTGCTGAGCTATCTGTCAATAACATTTGACAATCCTTCCTGAAATATTCTTTTCTAGTCATTTGTGGCTTTCCAGAAACCATGAGAGCGCTCTTCAACTCTTCTTTAGATGCCTTATAACTCCTTCATGAATTTCCAAATTTATTCATTTCTTTCCCCATACTGCCTCTGGCTTTGTCCAGCCTCCATGTGGACATCTGCCAGCTACAATCAGAATTGGATTGGGCCGTACTTGTATCCCACAACTGCAGTATTTCCTAAACACATACAGAGGAGTTCCTTGGTGTCAGCATGAAATGTTGGCCTTTGTCACCTCCTCCCACTTCCCAGCACTCCCCCACCCCAGTGTCCCCACCTCCCTCAGCAGCTAAGGTTTTCAGACAGGTCTAGTACTACCTGGCCTGCCTGCCTTCTCCTTCCATTGCATGGCTAAGTACAACTTAGATGCTAGGGTCTGCTTCCTTTGCTTGACTCCAAAGCCTAGAACAGGCACTACCCTTTGAAACTGTTCACTGTAACCCTTCCTCCTGTAGTTGCGCCACTGTTCATTTCTACTAGACTAATTCTCTAGAGAGAGGACTAGGCTTGTACTGCATACAATGTCTGTAAATCATGTTTGTCATGTAGGAATAATTCATTAAATAAATATCAAAGCATGAACTGATAAATACTTATTGTCTAAAATATTTTTGTTAAATAGACATTCTTTTAAAAATGTCGTTTGAGCTGGGCGTGGTGGTTCGTGCTGTGATATCAGTCTCAGGAGGATTGCTTTGAACACAAGGCCAGCTAGGATTACATAGTGAATTTAAAACCACCTTGAACTACATAGCAAGACCCTATCTAAAAATAAAATAAAATAAAAAATTCAGCAATTTCCGACTCAGATTTTTTAAACCATTTTTTACCCATTTGCCAAATATAAATGTATTACTGAGAGTTCCAATAATTACTGTCATTTTATTATTCAATTCTTTAAGAAACGTAGCCCCTATCAACTATTAATTCTGTGCCTGAAAACAATGCAATTTAGGTGGGGGTAGACGTAATTTGTGTAGTCTAGAAAGATGAACATTTGCAGCTTGAGTAGGGGCTTTGGGTTATGTGGTGTCAGTGAACTCTGAAATGTATGTGGGCGGTCGGTCTTCCAGTTATGCCCACCTGGTGGAGCCCTGGCAAAAACCATGGGCGCTGAGAGTCAGTGAAGCCCCCCTGGCTGGCCACCTCAGGTACAGCAGAGATCCGCCCTGGCTGCCGGGCAGGGCGCCACACTCGGATCTCCCCGGCACTTGCTCCATCCACTACTTCCCTTAGCTGATGTCAGCCTGCACCATCTTCCCATAAGCAACTGTACTCGTAAGGGTCAGCTTCGGGGGCCCTGTGCATGCCTTGCAGCTCAGAACCGAGCTGCATTTTGCGGTCAGCCTGCCTTCTCACTCCCTACTAAGCACAACTCGTCTAGCGAAGGAAGTAAAAAGAGCAGCTATAACTGTATTCTGCAACAACTGAGGTCAGCAAGTAGTAAGATTGTATATGAAAGAAGGTGGCTATCAGGGCTTTTCTGGTCACAGATCTCTAATTATCCAGTGAGGAATAAAGAAAATAATACAGAATAATTATAGACTGTTTTCATGTGCCTTCATAGCCTTCACAGAAATGCATTTCACACTACATATTCATTAATAGAAATGTGTTAAGGAAAATACATTCAAATTATTGTGATGTAAGAATATAATTATGTTTAAGAAAAAAATGTTTACTTAAAGAGAAAAGGCACTGGGTCTTGTTACAGCTTTCCTTTAAATCAGCTCAGTAGTTTGGTTGTTTTGGGTGTGTGAGAGATACCCCTGCCGGACAGGTGTCACTCGGCAGGGCAGCGTGAGGCTGGCACGTGCTGGGCCCCAGTGCAGTCCCAGGACAAGGAAAAGAGAAAGGGAAGAACAAGACTGTGAGAAAAGACGAAGAAAGAGACAAAGAAAGAAAGAAAGAAAGAAAGAAAGAAAGAAAGAAAGAAAGAAAGAAAAGGAAAGGAAAGGGAAAGAAAAACATCCTACTACTGAACTCCTACTCTCTCTCAAGGGATTAAAACACCTCCATATTTAAAAAATTTTCTGTCTCATTGCTATTTCTTTCTCATTAACATTAATTTAGAAAAATGAAAAAAGAATACATTCCCAGAATTTGAGTTGTTATATCAAGATTATTCATTAGACCTATGTTTGTATGTATGTATTATCAAACTGTCCTTCCACAAAGGGTTAATC